ATATGAGAATCCCTGGTTAAAAAATAATATTTAACAATTTAAGGAGCCAATTTAAATATACATTTTTCAGGAGCCAATTCAAAGATCGAATTTATATTTACCCAAAATTGGGAGCCAATTCAATGGTAGCCACGAATAATACCCCRTGCTCCCCAGCTAGCTTAGTAGTACTGAACTAGACCCTGGAGAGTTTACATGTTCCCTTCAGGTAGTATTGGACTAAATCCGGGAGAGTTTACAATCGCCCTCCTGGCCATAGTGTTAATTATAAACATTGTGGGAAAACGTATTATAATATGTAACTATGTAAGTATGTACCTAACTGATAAGATACTACAGAACAACCACGCCCGGCTTAGACCACCAGTTACAATAATTATTTCATATTTGTGCATGTCTTGTATTTTTCTAACTTTTATTACATATGCTATGGACTAGCGTCACTATTATATTAATCATTAAATATGGAACCAGACAAAAATAAGCTTCGAGTTAGCACATTACTTTCATATTTTAGCATACATATTATACGTATGCAAATGCAACTAAAATATAAATATAATAGTAACGAAGGATATATAGGGGGGTGTGGGGGGGCGAAGCCCCCACGTTTACATATCAAACACATTTAAGCGTATACTCACTAAAAAAATTACGACTACATCACTGGTCTTATCTCTTAGAAAACATCTAAATTAGTCTTTTYAATCAAGACGTAAGAAGACACAAATCAACACTTATTATGCCTTCCGGCTTTCAATGTTATTTTCGNTTATTATGCCTTCCGGCTTTCAATGTTATTTTCGGTTTCACTGCACCTAAACGGTTACATGAATATATTATATACGATACCTATACCAATACCATGTGTAAATACCATTGTAAATATTCTTCAATTCTGTTTGCATGACATTAAACTAGACTAAATGATCGTATATTCTTATGACTCACAATTTTTTTAAATCATAAATCTTGCGCATGCCCAACAAAACTGAAACTATTTTAAGTGGTAACCCCTATTTTGAATCCATGCTTGGATTCATCGATTTTTTTCATGCCTATTGATGTTTCAACTTTTGTTCTAAACCCAAATTGGCGAAACTAGAGCTAAGCAGAATTTAAAAAAAAATTAATTTACCTAATTAATATTTTTTTTATTTAACAGTACCTACGTACTTATTTTTTTCTTCTAAACGCCATGAAACAATCAAAATTATTTTCATCTRAGTGATTAACTATTAACTATTTATGAATTGTTTTATTTTATTATTCGGTACACATTACGGAATAACATAGTTTAAATATGTATTTTTAGGAAACTTATTTCTGAAATTTATGTTTTTTTTAACAATACTTCTTATGCATTATAATTTACAGAAATTATTAATATTAACTATTTCATTAACTTTTTGAAATTCCCTCCGTTGTGTTAATTTCTTAGGTAAAAATAATTTTAATTGTTTCATGGTATTTAGAAGAAAAAAATAAGTACTCATATTTATATTACATGAGATTATTAATTAGGATTTGTTCAGTGGCGTCATTTCAGGTTTTGAAAGGGGGGGGGGGCAAAAATTTTGACCGGCCTATAGGCCATAATTTAAAAAAAAAAAACCACTCGCTAACAATAACATTTTTATCTCAGTACAAACAGCCTCCTTACATCTTACATATTAAATATTTTATACGAGTAGCGGCCTACAGGGAAGGCGGGAAACCCGGTATCCCAGTCGTCCAGTCCACCACTGCACATACAGAATACAGATGTCAGATACCTTATAATTATTT